CGGGAATGACCTCGAACGTTTGTGATGTCGTCGGGAATGACCTCGAACATGTGTGATGTCATCAAGAATGACCTCAAACGCGTGTGATGTCATCGGGTATGACTTTAATGTGTGTGATGTCACCCAGAATGACCTCAAACGTGTGTCATAGTATTATAGACGTCAAACTCTCTATATCTATATCAAGAGCTTATAAATACAGGGATGAGAATCTTCCGCGGATCCGCAGAAATCTGCGGATTTCACAGTTCCAGGGTCGATTTTGTGAAACGTCTAAATCCGTTGAGAGAACATTTTAGGGGGGGTGGGGGGTTAGAATGTACAAATTTTCATTTTAAAGTCCAACAGTAACTTCATTTAATCACTTAATATAGTTCGCTTTACAATATAGACACGGCTTAGTTCACTGTTTGAGATTGTCAGACGTTGGCCAGTGTGTGCGTTTATTTGACGCTGCAAGTGTGTGTGTATGTGTGCCGCGCGTGCTACGCAGGCCGTATATAGTGCGCGATCGATCGATCGTGTACATCAAAAGCCGCCGCGTCACGCGTGGCCTTGAGGCTCGTTTTATGAAGTAGCCGGCCCAGGCTCTGCGACTGTTTCACGTGGTAGAAAACGTAGGTACGAACTTTTTCACTTCTCGCCAACGAAGGTCTGTTTATAATACATATATACATAACCATAAAAGGTGGTGTCGCGAGCTTCGCCCTGTACCTGACCGCCCTCCCCGCTACCCCCCCCCCGCGCTGGACCCCGGCTATTTTCAGCTGAAAACACAAATTGTCATTCCCATCCCTGTAAATACCTATATATATACCTAGGTATTTATAAGCTCTTGTCTATATGTCTATAATTATGTCTATACGTGTAACGTTCCTTTTTTGTGTTTTTGGTGGCGCGGGCAGGTATACTAGTGCGCTATGTATTTTATAATTGATCCATTTACATTTCTGTTTTACCTGTAGGGACCAGAACATATCATCCCATTATTTATTACCCGAGTGGTAGTTTAAAGTAGCGTAGGTGTTTTTCATATCATACCTTTTTGAGGTGTAGTGTACCGTGAGGCTAATACGGCAATGCCTGGAGCATACCCACTTCACGTAGTTAAGTTCCTAAGTTTACCTGTTAGTTGTCCGCAATCTTTTTGTGATTCGTAGCCGAAATTTATACAAGAAAATATAACTGCTGCAATCGTACAAGATTTGCTTCTCTTAGCATTTATATATCAAAAGAATGTGCACAATAAATCTTCATTATGCGTGTGAAAAGTTTCACAATTCTAACCAAAAGTGCACAATGTGCCCATTTTTATGTGTTTATCCGCTGGACTATAAAGACTTGGAGTGTCCTTGAGACTGAAACTGCTTAAGACTGAGATTGTGCTTAAAACTCAGATTTTGTAGAATATTGAGGATGTGCTTAATACTGAAACCGTGCTTGAGACTGAGACTGTAAGGCTTGAATCTTGGAGTAATCATTAAGAATTACTGT